TTGGTAATTAATTTACTATTATTTACCATAGCATTTTATTATTACTAACCAGTATTAACCAGAACCATTTTAATAATAAATTTCTGGACTGTTGATTAATTTGCTTTGTCTTAATTGTTATTGTAAGTGATTTTATTGCCACCCTGTGTATATATATATATATATATATATATATATATATATATATATATATATATATATATATATATATGTATGTATGTATATATATATTTTCTACATTCAACACCATCACTTGATAAGACACCAGAAGTGTTGAAACAAAATGGCTATTTTGTAGTGATTTTCGAATAAATTATATTTGCTCTACTCTGTATTGAGCACTCTTTTTAGGAATAGTAATTTTTGGTTGTTGGAATTTATTCTGTATACACCTATCCTATACTTGATATATATATATATATATATATATATATATATATATATATATATATATATATATAAAAAGATATTCCCAAATTTATACAAATATAGAACTTTTCAATTTCGCCCCTACAGATTTTCAAAAAATGCATACACTAAGAAATGTATCTTTTGTAAAATATAAATCTATACAATAATCTAAAATATAAGCCTGACTTTTATACTTACTGGTCACGTAGAGACTGATTTTCTCTACTTGTTAATAAAATATTCTATTGCTATGGTAAAAGGAGGCATTAGTTGATGCCAATGAACGAATATGTTTCGTTAATTGACTGCTTTGTTTTCCATGGCTTATCAACACGTTTTATTATTATTTAAAGCCTGAAAATATTTTGACATTGTAAGAATTTTTGTGGGTGGTTTGACAAAGATAACAATGGGTTAGTGATAAAAGTTTTACTAATTAACCTATAGATGGGGTGAGGATATGTGGATTCATAACTTTCCTCGCGGTATTTGCGGGTTGGGGAACATACCGAAGCCAACGGAAATTGGAACTCGGCTCCCGATTAACAATTCCAAACTATTATCCATTACACCACCCGCACATCCACACTTACAGCACCTGGTAATCCATCATTCTTCTTAATCCGCATTCCTACAACTACCGGAAGGATTATTTACATTATTCGGACTATTGTCCTCATTTGTCGCCATATTTATGACAACATTTCGACCGGGTATTGAACTCACACTCTTTGGGTCCTGTCACTGAATCTAACCAACGCAATATGGACATCTGTGTATGAATTTCTGGGTATTATAAATCTAATGTCTTCAGCAACCATTTTTTTTAACCAGTGCCCATATTGCAATTTTTGCTGTTATCATTATATTTTTTTACCAGAGTTCATATTGCAATTTTTATTGTTATCATCGCTTTTCTCTGGCATTCCTTATTACTGGTTCCCATATTGTATTCATTTCTATGCTTGGTCGGCTCAGGAAATTTTTGTGGCCTAGCAGATGTGCTGATTCCTTAAGTTACGAATTTTCCAATGGTGTTCTTTGTCTATGATCTCAACCTGATCCCACGGAGGGCGGTGATCTCCCTTCTCTCTCCATATGTGGTCAGTCACGTCTGATTTTTCCACTTCCCCTCGTGTTACAGTTTTCTAGTGTTCTTGATGCCTTACCTTGAGAGGGCGGCCTGTCTCTCCTTTATATTTCTTTCCGCAGATGCACGGGATAGCGTGCACACAGTCTTTAGTCACGTTCTCCTCTATGGGGGGTCTTACTCGGGAGAGATATCTGCGAAATGTCGTCAAGCTTTTTAAGGTTGTCCTGGTGTTATATGGACCGCAGATCCTTTGTATTTTCTCTGATAACCCCTTCACATAAGGCAGACAGACTGTTTTCTGAGTGTTGTTGTTCTCCTCTTGTACCCGCCTATCCCAGTTTTGGGGGGCTGCTGCCATGTATCCAGGGTAGTTGTTACGTTGTATGGTACTACTTATACTGACCAATTCGTTATCTAATGTTTCTGGGTCGCCACTTATGACTTTTGTTCGGTGTTGTAAGCAACGGACGATCCCTTTCTTTACTCTGTATGGATGATGGGAGTTGAAATTGAGGTACTGTCCAGTGAATGTCGGTTTACGGTATACGGATGTCTTGAACCCATGCTCTGTTTGATATATTAGAACATCCAGGAATGGGAGTGTGTTGTTACTCTCTCCATTGTGAACTGTATCGAAGGTCTTATTGATTTCACATCGTCCAGTAGAACCTGAACATCTTCCTGGTGTGGACAGAGTATGAAGGTGTCATCTACGTACCTTAACTATTTAGTTAGCTTTAGAAATATGGATTCTAATGCTATTTCCTCAAAGTATTCCATGTATATATTCGCCATTGCTGGGGATAAATGCGAGCCCATTGCTAAGCACTCATCTTGTCTTAGATGAGGACAATAGTCCGAATAATGTAAATAATGTACATAATACCCCATCTCAGAAATATAGACAGATACCGGAAGGATGTATGCATTCAAATGCCAAAATATTGATTTTTTTCTCTCCTCTTACCTATAGGTTAATTAGTAAGACTATTATAACTTATATATTATCTCCAAAAAGAAAAAAAAAACTTACAATCTAAAAATATTTTTCTGGCTTTAAATAACTACTAATGAGTTTATAAGCCATAGAAAATTAACTTGTGTCCTAGTGGCTTTATTTCCTTACTTGGGGTAAAATGATTTAAAACAAATGATAATGCATCTGTTGCAGTTCTCTTTGGCTAGTTTTTTGATAACCTGACCGTATTTCTTTTAATGTTATGATAGTGGCAAATATAAAATATATAATTTTTTGAAAAAATAGCTTCCATAATTCTTTTCAGAACACAGGCCATCATGACTCTCAATAGAGTTATTTCCTTTATTATCTGTGAATTGCCAGGTTTTCTTGGAAAAAAAGAGAGACGAGTGGTAATAATTTACAATACGATGCTGTAGTAAAACACAGCTACATTCTTTTTTTAAAACTAAATGTTCAGCCACTACAAGATTCAAGAAGAGCCATTTAGGTTTGAGTGTTGCTGAAGGAGGTTTAGACTTTATGAATTTAAGTGCAGTACTAGATTGGCGGTAAGGTCTCATCATTTTACAATTGAAATAGCTGAATGTAATCATAATTTCTATTCTAATAGTTTCTACTATCGCACTTCTTGCTTGTGAAACTCTTTTCCGGCTTCTTGCTTTCCATTCAACTTTTATCTTCAAAAATTTAAATGCAATGCCAACCGTTATTTTCTGTCTTCTTAATTCTTGGACTTTTATCGTTCCCGCTCTTTAATGTATTTTTCTCATATTCTCTAACACTCAATAAGCCCTTGCGTCTTAGTGGCTTTATTGTCTTCCTTGAGAGTAGAATAATTTTAAAAAATCCTCAAAACTCTATAGTAATAGTAATGATGAGATCAGCTGTTTCCTTATAAGGAAACATTCGGTAGTCATTGGTCTAACGGTTAAAGTTAATGTTGGTTTAAATTTATAAAATCTCTAGCTTATTTTCAAGAAAATAAGTTTCTCAAGTCCCCTGTTATCGCTGTTTTTATTGTTAGCGAGTGTTTCCTTCCTAACCTTTTGTTTAATGTAGTGTGGAAAGTCAAAATATTGAACATATCTTTATATCTTTAGTTTCTCTTCGAGTTAGGCGTGTTATCTATTTTGATTGTTGCTGCTGTTGGAATTCTTCAAGTCGTGCGTTTTCTGTTATTTGATAATGTTCTTTGGGATTATGTAGCGCCAGTTTGTGAGGTCTAATGAAGCTTAGTGCCCTTTTAAAACCTACAGAATTGATTCATTTGAACTTAATTATTGGTCTGAGATTTTATTTTACGGTTTTATCTGGCTGATTGTTTAGCCATTTCTAAAGGAGGCGGACGCTATGTATGACGTCTACATGAGATGACAAGGCGATTTAAGAACATGACTCGAGTTTTTAGCTTAATATTTTGGTTTTCTAGCATTTTAAGGTGTTGGACAAAAACTACCTGTAGTTCAACCCGTTCTGTGTTCAATTTCCTCAACTCCTCGATTTTTTTAATCAGGGTATCACGCCATGCAAGGCAGTAAAGCCACTAAGACGCAAAGGGTTACAGGAATTAGGATCTGAAAGATTAATAATGATCAGAAAGATAAATGAGTAATCAGGAGGACAGTAGATAGCGATTGACATTGCATTTAATTTTTTGCAGATTTACGTTGGTTGGAAAGTAGGGGACCGGAAGAGAGTTCCACAAGCGAGAAATGTGACGAAAGAAACTGTTAGCATAGAATTTACGGCTTCATCTAGCCAGCTCAACTGTAAATTAATGGGATCACGACTCTAGTCTAGTAATGCTTTTAAATTCAAAAAGTCTAGACACCATAGCGAAGAGCTCATCTGAATAATTACCATGAAATTATTTATAAAAAAAAATGCACAGAAAGGCAACCTTACGGCGGTGGGCAAGTGACTGAAGCCGAACAGCCAGATCAGGGCCAATAATATTGCTGATTCTTCTTTGGATCTTATCAAGAAGCTCAAGGTAAATAGCAGGGGCATTGGACCATATATGGTAGCAATATTCTTAGCATGGACGAATGGTAGACTTATAGATATGTAAGAGAGAACAATTGTCTCCCACGACACACTGAACCAACTTTCTTAGCAGCTGACCTAGTAATGAATTCAATATGGTCTTTCCACTTCATGTCAGCTGAGAACCTTAGCCTGAGAAGGTAGAACGCGTCACTTTCCTGGAGGTTAGCATCAGCCATGCTGATGGAAAACAGAAAGGGGTCTCTCAGATATTGAATGGAGAGAAGCTTAGTTCTGAAGGCGTTAAATTTGAGAAGCCATCTTTTTTCTCCAGATTAAATCACTTTTCTTATTATCTGAGTAAAAAACCTTGCTTAATATACCTCTTTAAGACGTATAATATTCTAGCCTGTCTCCTGATTTTGCCAGAGTTTTCGAAGTTGACCATTGCTACATAAACAGATCGATAGCTAGCCGTATCTTCCCTGGTAAATTACAAGCGAAGCGTACCAAACAAGCAGCCAAAGTATGAACAGATTAGTTTTGTTCCTGGAGCTGAAAGTTGAATGTCTGTTTCAGCCTTCGGCTAAAGGAGAGTTATTCAGTTTCCGGCTGAAGTAGAAACATTCGGCTTTCGGCTCAGACCTCTCGATCTCATTCGCTGCGCCTGGCATTCTATTTAAATGTCGTCTCCACCTGGCGATTCAAACTGACTTTGTCCTCTCAACGGGACCTACCGACTACTTGCAATAATTCGAGAGATGTGCCACTTTATCTGGTCTTGCTGACGTGGGCGGGCGAGGGGAGATCTAAAGATCAGCTATAGTAAGCGATAAACTCTTCATCAAATCGAGATTAAACGTCTACCAAATAAAGTATATGAGACTTAATAGTGTTTATTATTTTGCCGATACAATTAATTAATTGGTATTATTCATTAAAAATATAATTTAACACCAGTACGTCACTGATTCCTTTGACTTCTTTTTCTATTAACCGACTCTTATGAATTGTTCGTTTTTTTACGGCTTATCAACCCTTTGCGTTTTATTTAAAGTCGAAACATATTCTGGGTGCTAGGAAGCTACTGACATTAGACACTTACGGAATATTCAACTGTACATATTTACGAAAACGATACAGTTGATCGCCCTGTCGTCTGGGGCTGTAGAACATACCAACTGCACCTCTGCAGAGGGATAAACTCGAACCAATACGCGTCCTGAGTAAGACAATAAACTACATCTGCGTCCTGGGTAAGACAATAAACTACATCTGCGTCCTGAGTAAGACAATAAACTACATCTGCGTCCTGGGTAAGACAATAAACTACATCTGCGTACTGGGTAAGACAATAAACTACATCTGCGTACTGGGTAAGACAATAAACTACATCTGCGTCCTGAGTAAGACAATAAACTACATCTGCGTCTTGGGTAAGACAATAAACTACATCTGCGTCCTGGGTAAGACAATAAACTACATCTGCGTACTGGGTAAGACAATAAACTACATCTGCGTCTTGGGTAAGACAATAAACTACATCCGCGTCCTGGGTAAGACAATAAACTACATCTGCGTCCTGGGTAAGACAATAAACTACATCCGCGTCCTGGGTAAGACAATAAACTACATCCGCGTCCTGGGTAAGATTATAAATTACGCCCAACAGCAAGACGTCTGATCAGGAGGTTTTGAGGAGCCTGGAACTACTTCCTAATTGCTGGTGTTCCCAGGTCGACCTTGGAGCGGGGTGCTAGCCACAATTAGGGTCCTAACAATGGGCAAATAGTTAACCCCCAAACTGGGGTCAAAACTCTATGAAATCCAAAAATAGGTTTTAATACCAGCAATACATTCTTGTAAAAAAATTATTATCAGCAATAAATTTTTGAAGAAAAAATTATTACCAGCAATACATTTTTGAAGGAAAAACTAGAATTATATGGAATAGAAAAATAGAATTATTTCTCTTTCATTTATAATAGTGGGTATTCACAAAGTTTATAAATCAAGAACAAATTATCATTTCATTATTATAGAAATATATGGTAATAAACTTTAAGAATTTGTTTATTCTTAACAGACATACATTGGATAGTCGATAAGTTTACGTCGCAGTTCTAGTAACCTTTAAGGGCATTGTACTGCGGCTATAGATACAGTGGTGTGTCTAGAACAAAATTAACTGATAGAGTTCATCCCTGTTCATGTTAGTTTAGGATTCAGAGTTTATCCTTCTTCTAGACTGGCTGTCACCTCAAGACAAGACCGCCCAGTCAGGCTTACTATTTAACTCATAGCTGGGAGGAGAAGTGATGATTTATAGTTAATAAATATTTGTGCGAAAGTGAAGCTCGAACTCGGACCATCGATTTCTCTTTTCGAGACCTTAACCATTTCACTAGACAGATTCAAATCATTTAAATACTTGCTGTGATATTAAACAAAAAAAGAGTTGCTTGTCATATTCTTCGCTCACAAAAAAGATTATTTGCAGAACATTTCCAAGATTTCTTTTTGCCTGGTATTTTTCAAAAGACGAAAGGCTTTAGTCGAGTTATGCGCAACTCACTATACCATACTAGCCATTGGCAAATCTGGTGCCTAAAAAAGATTTGTCATCTGTTTAGTTCTCTTAAAGAAAGCAATTCAAAATGAGTAAGCAATCTTGAGAAGTGGACAGAATCTAGTCTAGATGAATCAGCATTTAAACAAAATACATGACAAAACCATCACCACATAACTTTTAAGTGATCGTGTTATTCAGGGGGGAAATCAGAACAAATAAAATAATTCCTCGTTCAAAGTTGTCTAATTCTGCCATCAGATCTTGTTTTAATGCGATAGTTCTCTTTAGCGTATATATAATAGTCTTTAAAATATATCAAAATATCAAGTAAGATGTACAAACGGTCAATTTTTAATTAGTTTCGTGTTATCTCTATACCATTTTGATTGGTAAATATTAAATGTTCGCAAATGAATGAAAATTTCTCGACTATACAAGGTTTGATTAATAAATAGTCTTCAGACTTATAAAATAATTTTTAAATCAAATAATGAAAATGTATCAAAATGAAGGAAAAGTGTTTCTCTTCAAAATTACGAGGTTTGATTTATATTTAAGGTCTTCAATCGTATAAAACAAGGTTTAGATCAGACAGAATCATGAAACTGGTATCAGTCCGGCAAAACAAGTTTTACATCATATGATGAAACTTGGATGAAAATGAAGTAAATTTATTTCATCTGAAAATTACAAGGGTTGATAGACAAATAAAGTCTCCCATCCTATAAAATAGGCTTTAGACCAGACAGAATATGGAAACTAATATTAAAATGAAGTAAATTTATTTTCGAATTTATGACGACTGCGTCGATAAGTATGGTCTTCAATATATATATATATATATATATATATATATATATATATATATATATATATATATATATATATATATATATTGGTCTGTTTATCTCATGTAATGTAAAGCGTTTTGTTCCAAAACAAGAAAGTTTATTAAAAAAAAAACATAACTGTTTCTCATTGTTATATTCAATAAGGGGCTTATAAAAACAGAAAGAGGAGGAGGCGAAGAAGAAGAAGAAGAAGAAGAAGAAGAAGAAGAAGAAGAAGATCTATATCAGGTTTCTCATTGGAATCGATTTATAGTAGCAATTGTAGGACTTGTATAATTCTATCACCTGCAGATTTTTCAGTATCCATAACGTCAAATTATGGATCATTTTCAATTTTGATAGAATATTTATCTATTTCTAAGAAAAAAAAAATGTAATTTTAATCAAAATATTTCTGAAAGAGAAATACAGATCTCTACAGCATTATTTTAGAAAATTACCAATCTGATTTTTTTTTTACAAACAAATTTATCGCGAATTTTCAGTAATTCATCTAATATTGCTCTAGCTTATATTTTCAGTGAAAATAAGAAATTAAATTTATCTTCTTTTTTTTTACTAAGAAAGTAGATTCACTTAAATCACGTTTCCGCCATTTTGTAACTGATTTAACAACATTATAGCGGTTCTGTTCAGCTAAAGAAAAACTTGTCAAAATCAATTCATTCCTTTTTCTCGCCATAAGATGAAAAAAACAACACGTCACGACGTAGGTATATTTAGAAAGCTCCCGAAGAAATCAACGTCGACAAAAATCTTTTGTTTTTTCTTGCCGCCATGAATGCATTCCGCTGTAATAAGATGAAAAATCAAAACGATCCGTTTTCTGACTAGAACAGGCATGCGCAACGTTCCCCTTACTGGGTAGCATGAGATATATCACAATATATCATTAGGTGGGACGCACTAATAGAAAAATTCAAAATTATTTTTCGCTGGAAGTAAAGCGGCTATTTTCATTACAGAAGATCATAGTCGTAAGCATCTGCCTTAGAAATGGCGGAAAAGTTGTTTATTTTTTATTTGGACGACAATTTAAAAATAAAATTTCGTATTGTGGAAGTCAAATTACTTACCTTCTAATACGGCTACCTTCTTGTGTCTCCTTGGAGATTTATTGTAAGGAATACAATTATGGCACATGGCCTAAAATAGGGGATGGGTTAAGGCTGGTCGTCACTAACTATCCTATACCTAGCTAATCCGATTCACGACCCATTCACTCATTACATTTTTCGCATTCACCACAAAAACTCGTCTGATCAATCCCCCATACACCACAATACCGCATCTTCTCAAGGGGGGACCTACAAAACGCGCCCCATGCCATAAAAATCTGATGATTATAAAATTATATAATTAAAATTCTATGGATGACTAAAATGAAAGGGGAAGGAATGAACCCCAAAACAAACTAAACATCAACACAAGGTAAACTAAACATAACTGATGTTAGTAGGGCCCGTTCTCTCCTTGTGTCGCCTTCTAAAGGCAGGCCAGCTAATCTACCTCATTTGTAGGAGAGTGCCTAATACATCAGGTGGGTTAGTCCACTTTACTATTCGCCCAGCTCTGTCCCATCGATGGCTATTTTGGGGATGGGGCCCCGAGACAAGGGATCTTGAGGCCACAATATGCGCTCGAGGTATCGATGTTCAATTAGTCCTGCAATTCGCAATCATTTGGCTTCTACATGTATAATATTATCACTGATGACACTGTTATTAATAAACGTTATTGCGTTTGATTTGTTTCAAATTAATTCATTGGAAAAAAAATCTTTTTAAAAGAAAAATATAATTCTTCTCCAGAGGAAAAAAACATGAAAGTTTCTAAAACAAAATATTTCTACACCTATGATTTCCCTTATTGACAATTCCTAATATTTAAAAAAACTGAGAACGTTACCTTCAACGAAATGTCACGAAATTCATGAGACATTATACTTAATCATTGTTACTTATATTGTTTAGTTAAACTGTGTCCAAAACGCAACAGGCATTAATAAGTAAGGGAGGTTATTCAGTCATTTAATAGTTATTTCCCTTTGAGACCAAATTCTAACAACCTTTTTTTTTCTTGAGAGACAATATGAGTGAACAAGTGAAAATGAAACAAAACACAAACTTTTAATAAACGTTATAGTCCGCATTAAATTAGATATGCCATTCAAAAAACCAACGGGCCGTATGTG